CCCTTCAGCCATTGCCACAGTCACTGTATCGGTCCATCTAGTTGAGGAGTTTTCTCTTTCACTAACTCTCCACCTTTCTAAGCATAATTCCCCTTTCTGCGGAATAACCTTTCTTAACAACATGCCCAAAATATGGGAGACAAAGCTTTGCCATCCTTGCCTTTAAGGAGCACACTCTGGTTGCATTTTCTCCAAGACATACTTGTTTGTTCTTTTGACAGTCCATGGGATACTCAGTACGGTTCTCCAGCACCAAAAGTCAAGGCATCAATAATTCTTCGGTACCTGGCAAACTGACCAGAAGAGATCCATAATTATTCCTATTCCCAGCAGAGTGTGGAAATATCACACAGTATCGCTCATAGGCAAGCAAAATCCTGCTGAAGATGAGTCAGAAATGACTGGAACAATACATTGACAGAAAACTACCAGAAATATAAGCTGGGTTTAGAAGAGGCCATGGTACTAGAGACATCACCAATGTCAAATGGGTCTTGGCAGAAAGCAAAGAATACCAGAGGGATATCAGTCTGTGTTTCATTGACTATGCAGAGGCATTTAACTGTGGATCACAACTAATTTTTGTTAACTTGAGGAGAATAGGAATCCCAGAACACTTTATTTTGCTTATGTGAAACCTATACTTGGACCAAGAAGCTGTCCTCAGAACAGAGCAGGGAAGCATTACATGGTTCACAATCAGAAAAGGAGTGCATCAGGAATCTGTCTTGTCTCTTTTCAATCTGTATGTGGAACAGATCGTTCAGGCCGCTGGGCTCTATGAGGAATGTTGCATCAGGATTGGCGGAAGACTCATCAACAACTTACATTATACAAATGATACAACCTTGCTTGCTGAAACTGAGGAGGACCTGAAGCACATGCTGCAGAAGGTCAAGGACTGTAGTCTTCAGTATGGATTGAGGCTCAATGTCAAGAAGACAAAGATTCTCACCACTGGACCAGTCGGTAGCATCAGGATGGATGGCGAAGAGATTGAGGTTGTTCACAGCTTCAGTTTGCTTGGCTCCACAGTCAACACTCTTGGCACCAGCAGCCAGGAAATCAAAAAACGTATTGTGATGGGAAAGTCTGCAGTTACAGACCTTTCTAAAGTACTCAAGAGCAACGGTGTCTCTTTGGAGACGAAGGTGCGCCTGATACAGGCCATGGTCTTTGCAATTACTTGTTATGCGTCAGAGAGCTGGACAATGACTAGGGAGGACAGAAGGAGAATTGACGCCTTTGAGCTGTGGTGCTGGAGAAGAGTATTGAATGTACCACGGACTGCCAAGAAAACAAACAGATTCATCCTAGAGAGGGTTAAAGCAGGCTGCTCCTTGGAGGCAAGGATTCTGGGGCTTCGTCTGACATACTTTGGACATGTTGCAAGGAGAGACAGGTCTTTGGAGAGGGACATCATGCTGGGTAGAGTGGAGGGACAGCGCAGGAGGGGAAGACCCTCTATGAGGTGGACTGATTCAGTGACTGGGGTAATTGGGATGGGTGTGTCAGAGGCAATGGGATTGGCACAGGATAGAGCAGGGTTTAGGGCTGTTGTACATAGGGTCGCTATGAGTCGCAAACGACTCAACGGCACATAACAACAACAGTCTTTGATCTTCTGCGCAAGCACTTCAAGTCTTCCTCATTTTCATTCAACAAGCAAAGTTGTGTCATCTGCATAATCCAGGTGGTTGAAGCAATTCCGTTTATTTCAGAAGCATTAACTCATCGCTGCTCGATGATAAATCACTGCTTATAGATAAATATTCAGGTTTTTTTAGGTAAAAAAATTTCTGGTGATTTAAATAGCTCATGGTGATCTGTTGGAAATAACTGGTGAAATTAAAAAGATCTTCTATTGTTGCCCCAAGTTGAAATTTGTGGAGAATCTCATCAGATTATTTTCTTTAGTCTCCAGCATGTCCTTGTTTGTAAAGTAACTTGACAACAATATGCCCTCTAGCATTATGTTAAATTTGATTATTAGAGTCCTCGCTTTGTTTTGTTGGTGATGTAGCTCCCTTCTGCTCTAATATCCGAGCTGCAGGGGAGTTGGGAGAAGGGAGTGATGATTTCCTGATTCCTCTTTGAGCACTTGGTGAAAGCCAAGACTCTGAATTGCGCACATTGGTAAGATTTTAATCCTCAGCCCATCTGAAGAGAGGGAGCTCTGGTGGTTGGAAGCTGCGCTGTAATCCTAATGGCATACAGTTCAAATCCACCAGCTGCTCCACGGGACAAGAATGGGCACTCTTTTCCAGTGCAATTTACTGCCTCTGAAGACTTGCTGGAAGGTCAGCTATGGATCAAAAATACAATGTCATCTAAATGGATAATGTTACTGTTTTATTAATGAAGAAATAGAATCTCAGAGAGATTAAGTACTCTGCCTAGGGCCACAGAACTAGTAGTATATTCCAAATTTGAAACAAGATTTCACTCCTAACCCCTTGAGTGTTTGTTCTGTTTTTCCAGTAGTACACTTACTGGTGCTGGGTTTGGAACCCAAACAAGCCTTGGATAAATTAGTTGGTTTTTTTGTACTTCACCACTATTTCTATTCAGGTGAAACTGGCTAAATATGAACATCCAAGATTGTTTTGGCAGGAAAATGAAAAGAGAATTGTTACATTTTAGACTGGTTTGAAGAGGTTATGGTGCAATAGCTTAGATGATAAAAAGAGGGGCAATGTTTTCTCTTTGCCTTCGATAGGCCTGTAGGCAAGGGGAAATTGATTATCACATAATTGTGTGTATGAACCCCAAAGAATACCTAGCTTCACTCACAAAGGCCACTCAGAACTCACAACTAAAAACTGTTGAGTCAGAACTGACTTAAAGCTGACCCTCCAGCGGGGTTTTGGGCAACTAAATTGCAGGAAAGGAGATTGCCTATGTTTTTTTCTCCAGATCCACTGGTGGATTTGAACCTCTGGAGAGGTGCCACTTTTGTGTTTACAGAGCATTTCTCAAGACAGTACACCACCAGAACTCTCCAGAACACCAGAAAGGCCACAGTCGTCACAGTTTGACTGTTAGCGTTAGGTTTCGAAGAAAAGGAAGACACTGCCTGGCGAGGTTAGATTAGAGAGGGCTGTCTCAGAGGGGCTCAGGAATGAGTGGTGGTGTTAAGCATGTACATTAAAGAGCTATTGCCAGTGCTTGCTCGGCTTCCTTGCTGATGGCAGGGAATGAGGAGGCAGCTGTTGCTTCCTGTGCTGCAGCTGGTCTGGGGCTGGGACACTGCAGCTCAGAGAAAAACAGAATTCATTTCAGATAGCAGCAAGTTGATGAGTTAAGTGCACAGGCAGAAGATGAGGGTCAACCCAGGGCAGGAAAATCTAAAAGGAGAGAAAAAAAGATTCGGGCAACTCAAACAATCTATGGGGAAACTAGAGCAGGGCAGGTTGGGTTGGGAGTGTCAGGTGTGTGAACTCTTCTACCTTACTACTTTCAGCTCTGTATTTGGGACATGAGGCTATATTCCAGGTGGGATTTTGGGTCCCCACACAGAACAACCAGAAGAATCACCTTCAATAGAGTGAGCCCTTCTGGTGGTAGCTTTGATGAGCAGGTTAGCGACCAAATGTCAAAGGCTCAGGTCTCCCATTATGGAATTAGCTGCTCACCCAAAGGTTTAGCAACTGCTTCTTGGGAGAAGGATAGAGATAGTCTTCTCTCATACAAATTTGCAGCCTCTGAAACTTGATGGGAGGCTCACTAAGGGTTAGGGTCAAGTTGACAACAGTGGACATGGATGCTCCACTTAGAAGTCTAATAGTGCAGTGGTTAAAGTGCTTGATTGATAAGCAAAAGGGTTCGAACCCACCAAAACTCTGATTCTCTTGGAGAAAGATGTGACACTTTGCTTCTGTAAAGATTTATTTGTAGCTTTAAAAACGTCTATGTGGTAGTTCTGCTCTGTTCTACAGAGTTGCTGTCAGTCAGAATCAGCTCAACAGAAGTGGATTTACCCTGAATTTGCTTCTAACCAAAGAGAAACTAGCTTACCAAATCTCCCAGGGGCTATATATTTCCTTACTAATTAGCATTTAGGGTGCTCTGGTGGCCTAGTGATAAGGAACAGTGCTGCCACTCCAAAGGCCCGTGGTTTGAATCTACTAGCTACTTTGAGGAACAGAGATGGGAAGTCTCCTCTTGTGTGATTTACTGCTTCTGAAAACTCACTGAAGGGTCAGGTACGAGTCCATTCTGACGTAACAACACATAACAATAATTCATGCTTTTCCATTCTTATGAGAAATCAATTCTATTTGTCTTGAATGCTTTTGAAATTTTTTTTAAAATGCAAAAATACATTAAAAAAGAAATTACCGGTAATCTCCATCCAGGTCTATCCACTGTTAATATTTCTTGTGTATTTCTTCTAGACTTTTGTCCATTCTAATGCATGTTAATGTCATGTTCATTTAGGTAATATAGTACTAAATAATATTTCCATGTTTTATGAGTTTTCATAAAGATGTCATTGCTTATTTCATATTCTTTTTAATGGTTGCATAATACTATATTACATGAATTTATGCAATTCCCACTGTGAGGAAATTTCTCTCTGCACTTAACAACAACAACAACATGTTTGTCTTGGGATAAATACTGTGTATGTTAGCCTTTGAAAATGTATGTGACTTACCCATGAAATAGATTACTGACTGCATCAGAAATGAAGGGAAATTCTTGAGTTTTTAATCTCTTCAAATATATCCCAGAAAGGTCAGATACAGTTGGCACTCCCACTAATAAGCAGGTAAACATTCCTTTTCCCAAAGCATCAGCAGCACTGGCCATTCCATCATGGAGACAGATATGTTTCTTCTAGTTTGGATGGTGAAAACGCTCTCTCAATTTTATGTGATGATAGTTGATTAATAGATGTCTAAATGTCCAGACCTTGTACTCATTTCCCCCCTGTCCCCACTGCCTACGCTTGCCATTCCTCCCACTCTACCTGATGGTCCTTTTCTGTTTTACAGCATTGCTGGTAGCCTGGTGTATTCTTACATCACTTTTTCTGAAGAGCAGCTGAGCAAACAGTCAGAGGCCAGTAACAAGCTGGACATTAAGGGAAAAGGAGCAGTATGACCAGTGGATTGCTTCAACTTCAGGACACCCGAATGCTGACAGTTCTTACACAGACATTGCGGTGTCTTGTTTATGGAGAAAATATCATTCTTTTGCACTTGTACAATCTGAAGATTGATTGCTGCCTTTTAAAATTTTATGATGAGAGAAACTTATAATTGACTCTATTTTAAATATACTGTTTGAATTAATTTATACCAGACTGGAAAATATACTGGGCTTTTTAATTTATTTTTGTCTTCAATGCCGACAGTGAAACATCAGTGTTTTGAATATATTCTATCCATAGTTTGATATCCAGGTGTCCCTGAGAGCTGCATCTGTAAAGTGTTCCACCAGGAGCCTCATCACTCAGATCATTGCTGCAAGTATCTGGAGGCTGTTTCACCTTCCTTTGCTGGAAGTCAGCTGAATTTGAAATTTCTCTTCGAATTGTATTTCTTATGATTGCATTTTCTTTTTGAGGATATCGTCACCACATTTGCATACAGTGACAGCTTTGGCACTAAAAAAGAAAATCTATGTGGGGCTTTGAACAGTATTGATTCCCACGTCTGCTTCCCTGAGGATTTGTGAGGTGAGCAGAGTGCATTCCTTGGGAATGTATTTATTGTTCCCTTTTTGTTGTGTTGGAAGGGGATAGTAAAGGGAATGGAAAGTATGCCTTTTACCAACTTACATAAATCCGTCTGACTCATATTCACCTAAAATGTATTGCACATGTGATACTTACCAGGCATTTGTTAAAAGTGCTAGGAACACAGATGATTTCGGAGGTTGTTGAAACATCTCTCCTACTATAAAGACTGAAGTGGGAAATAGAGGCCTTAGGACTTCAAATAAATGTTTAGCTCCCAGAAATAACATTCTGTAACTGGGGTTCAAAGCCCCTACCTGCCCTGCCTATGGCAGTTTAAGTCCAGATGTGTCAGTCTGAGCTCAGATGCATGTGGAGCTGCATTTTGGAAACTGAGCTCAACATTGATGCCTCCTCTAAATGAATGACAGACAGGGCGACTGCCTCTACTCCCTCATGCCTCCCTCTTCTGGGTCATGCCTTTTTAACAATGTCTCGGTGTGTCAGTGTAGCTACCTCCCACATTTCTGATCTTACAAATTTTAGGGAAAGGCACGCTCTGAAATGTCTGGAGTGGACAGGCTTGGACTTCAGCAGTTTCCGTGTTCGAGCCATGATCTTCCTTTTCCCTTTGCACAGGGTGATTTGTCTCACACACTTAACATCCCCTTGGCTCACTTAGTGAACATGCTAACTTTTCTTAAGACCAGTGCAGCCTCCTTGGACAGCAGCAGTGAGCACATGTTGCCTGGATTGTCTCTCATGGGGACTTTCAGACAAGCACAATTCTGGACCTCATCTGAGATACCTGGTCACTTTGAGGAGGAGTATGTTTGCTCAGGATGATTGTACAGTCAGTGAGCAAGAGATTGGGTACCTTTGCATTGGTACACAAACTAACTTCTTTTTCACTGGGGGATTTACTATTTTGTTGTCTTTAAAGGAACTGAAGGTTTTTGTTTGGTTTGGGGTGTTGATATTGGTTGGGGGTTTGTTTTGCTTTTAATTTGAAGAATTATTCTCAGACCATTTTCATATTCATGTTCCTCCCCAAGTTTGGCTTGCATTTACCAAAGCCTGGCCCGTCGTGGTACCGTGTTCCAACAACTCATCCCTTGAACAACTCCCATTGGAACAAGCTCCCATTAGAATAAACAGTCCTGAGCTCAATTTTTTTCTAGCATCTTCTGATTTGAGAAAATTCCAGAATGGGATATTATCTTGTGTCACTGGATATTTTTACCCCTATTGTACCAATGAGAAAGTTCAGCGAAAGTAGAGAACGTACTAATAAATAAAATACCCATCTTTCCAGTGACTATTCTGCCATTTGACTAACTGTTCTGTAGGAGTGAAGAAGTAGGAATGCTAGCCGAGTTAGCTTGAGCTCAAAAGAGGCAAGTAGTTAATTAAAACTGGAGTCAGTATGGCTAGGTTTTGCAGACCTCTAACATGGAAAGATGTCTCCCTATCCTGGAGTTTTTATCTGCCTCTGGGCTGGTGTCAGTCACTAATGCACTTTGGTCGTGACTGTTACTAGTACTCCCTGCTTTTGTCTGGGTGAGTGGAAAGGTAGCTCTCATTGCTGTCGAGTTGGAACATTCCTAAGTGACCCTCCAGTGAGTAGGCTTCCAGGGCTGAAGATTGCACTTGAGGAGATTGTTCATCTTTCTCCCCTGGAGTCCCATGTAGACTCACAAGGCACAGGCTTTGGGTGAGCAGTGCAGTTCCCCATGCACTGTGGCCACTGGAGCTCTTTGGAAAGATAGTTGAGAACTAATTTTAATAATTTCACTCCTGGTAACCATATAAAGAAGGGAACTTGAACATTAGAAATTTGTGTTGAGGAATTCCTCGGCATAATAGGCCTTTAGATACATTTGGAGTAATGGGTTAGTACTTTGCCAGGGATTGAACTGCTTCTCAGAAGTCAGGTGCCCTTGGAAATCTGTTGCATTTCCAGGCTTTTGAGAAACTTCTGTGTAGTCCTAACTTCACTACATCTTCACTGTATGCACATGACAAGCTTCTATACCTCAGAGCTCCTGGCCATACTACACCTTCTGGTTTACAGAAGCAGTGCAATGGCTTAGAAGTCTTGTTCTGTCTGTATTGTGATTCCCTGGAAGACTCCTTCAATGCAGTGTTCCTTCACAGGAATGAGCAACTTGGGAAAGTCAGTGGTTGAATGGACTGGCCAACCTTTTCATCATTGAATGTTTTACCTGGTTGTACTTTGACTCCCCGAATGTCTACAACTTTCACTCCATGATTGATACCTTCCAAACCAAGATTATTTAGTCTTTTAATGCATTCTGGGAGGGAAAAAAACCCAGAATAGAGTCAAATCTTTATAATTTGCCCATTGAGGCAGATGCGCTGTGATGAGAATCTTCAAAGCCAAACTCAAACTCCATGGCTAGTGGTTTCTCTCAGTTAATGAAAATGGAGATCCTCTTTGTCTAATTACTTTGATGTAATTGTAATGTAATCAGTACTACCCTGATTCAAATAACACTAGTGGACAAGACTATCCCTGGCCAGCATCCCAGTAACCTCTTCAGTAGTCAGTCATTTGTTGTATCCAGTTTGCATGTAGATGAAAACAAGAGACAAGTTAAAAAAGTTAATTGGCAAGATTACTGTATACTCTTACTAGGTCTAGAATTTAAGATTTTTAGTCATTAAAACTGATACAGGATTTTAATAGAAAGCACGCTGAAGCATTGGTTGGTTACGCCTGCCTTCCTTGGTTTCCTTGTGCCCTCATTCAGTGAGCAAACATCTATGGACCATTTTGTGGATGCTGAACACCATGTTAAACTCCAGGAACACTGAGATGAATGTGTGCTTCTTACCTTCAAGAAATGTCTAATTCTCTAGTCAAAGATGGTAAGTGGAGAGAAAAGCAGCAGGTGAATCAGTGATTTGTCTATAAGAACTTCCTGTCCAGTTAGCAGCATCACTTCAGGTTGCCCACTCCTCGAGCTAATGTAAAGTACCACAGTCACCATCCATCTTTATGTACAATGGATGGAAACCTTGTCCCATCCTGAACCATCTCACAATCTTTGATGTACTTAAGCCCATGTTTGCAGTTTATGTCAGTCCATCTTACTGAAGGTCTTTTTCTCCTTTAGACCTTTTACTTTTCTAAACATAATGTCCTTTTCGATAATGTCCTGATACCATCTCCAAATCATATTTTATGTATTTATTTACATATATATTTTACGTATTTACTGATAACATGTGAAAGCATTTTTTTTAAGTCTCAGAGGACTCTTGTAACTCAGGCTGGACTTCTAATTCTGAGAAAAGTGGCACAGCCCTTGGAATTTGATTTTTGGTGAACAGCTGGGCCCCCTTCCTTCATATTCCTGCTTGCTCCTAACCATGCGATAATGGTTGCTCTTTTTAGAAAAGGCTGTAATTAATGGATTGATTTCTTCCCTGAAGGAAAAAGAATCCTATTTAGAAGAGATAATAGATGTAAGACTACTCAGCATGATGCCTAGTATATATTAGGCACTCAGCAGCAGCTTAGTGGCTGGCATTGTTTCATGGTGAAACCATAGGTAAAATAAGATTCTTACTTTCTGCTCCTTCTTTATTTAGTTTATAAAAGGAAGATTATGTTACACTTTCTGGGAAGATTGCATTTGAGAATGGTAATTGGATTCAAACCCTCCTGGTTCGTCCTCGAGCAAGCTCCTGTGCAGGCCAGGCATTCCTTCCTCTCCCCGAAGGACATGCATGAGACTGTACACTGCCTCTGCTTGGAGATTCTATCTCAGTTGTCAGTATGTGTAAATCTCTTGCACCATCATAGTTTTCCAAACACATCTGTTAAGTTATTACTGTTAGAGATCCACGTTAGCTTGATCTAAGGGGAGATTCTCAGTGTTGTTTTATGTTTTTAAGCTTTGTGTTTTTGAAATACTTTTTAAAAGATATCTTAGAATTTATGTCTCACAAAAATGTTTTTTAGATATTTTGTTTATAAAATGTTTTCTTTCTCATGTTGATGATCACTGATTTTGTCTACAAATGTTGGCCTCTCACTATTTTTTCAATATAGATTCTATTTATCAAAGGATCCTTTTAGTGTTTTTAAAAGGTACTGATAATTGAGATATGTAAATCAGGTGGCATAAAAAAGAAAATTTATGTGCCTAACTATTTTTGTAAAGGCATCAAATAAATACTTTTTTCCTGAAAACGTGTAAAATTTCTTTTGAAATGTGTGCAGAAACATCCAGGAGCCACAAGTCATTTGTCCTTTAAGAGCCTGCATCAAGAAAAGCAATCAATGTAATTTATCACATCAAAGCAAAGAACAAGAACAATATGATCCTATCAATTGATGCAGAAAGGGCCTTTGACAAAAGTCCAACACCCTTTCCTGATTAAAACACTCAACAAAATAGGAATAAAAGGGA